TGACTGGGTCAAAATTGAAAATTCTAGTGAAAGGGAAAGGGGGCAGAGAGGGGAAGAAAAGAGAGAAGGATGAGCCGAGTAGCAGAAAGGGAGGAGATGAAATTAGAAGACAATTGTCGATTATATATTTGTAGTCAGTAAGTCACAGAAAATATGAAAAGCCTGAATGTAACCGATGCGATGCAAAAGACGAAAAATGAATAATAAAGAACTCTGACAAAGCAAAAAGGGAAAGAGCAACACACACAATGGGTTAAGGGGAGAAGACTGGGTAAGAGCTTGCAGTTTACAAAAGCAGTGCAAATGGCCTGGCCGATCGGCATATAAAAGTATGGTCAAACTTATTGACAAACAAAGAAATGTACATTAACCCAATAAGATTCTATTTCGGGTTTATGTTGGAAAAGATGAAAAATATAAACTTTATCATTGGCTGGGAGAAAATGCACTTTCATGCTGTGAATTATCATCCTTTTCAGTTATTTTAAAGTGCAATCAATATTTTAAATATGTTTATCTTCATTTAGGAATGCCTCATCTAGGAGCATCATCTAAGAAAATAATTGGATAATGATATGTTTTGCAGAAAAAGAGACCCCCAAATTCAAATATATCTTTAGAAATTCATTTAAACAGAACAAAGACAAATCATCCAGATGAGGGAGATCATCAACATAAGGCCCTAAAGGTGTCCAAGAATTCACAGCCACATGGCTAAATTTTAAAGCATGGAAAACAAAGGAAATGTGTCCAAAAATCACGATTGGTAGCAGATCAATGTATCACAGTTACAAGCTGAACTACACAGGCAGAAAAGGGACTATGATTACACTTTTGCAGATCAAAAATTTACAATATTACAAGATTGGTTTAGAGTTCACCTTAGGTGGAGTATGACTCAGAACCATGGGAGCCTAGAACCCCAATTACCATCACAAGCACTCCCAGGCAAGTTTCTAAGGACAAGATTGTTCCTCCTTGGGGTGGCCTAAAGGAGCCCTGATTGCTTAGTAGGTTAAGTGTTGGGCTGCTAATCACAAGGTCAGCAGTTGGAAACCATCAGCTGCTGTCAGAGAAAGATGAAGCTTTCTACTCCCTTAAAGAAACCCACCTTAAAGAAACCAACCAGGGCAGTTCTATTTAGTCCTGTAGGGTCACTATGAGTCAGAATGGACTTGATGACAGTGGGGGCTGGCCAAGGGAATCATAACAATCTTCTTTCAAACACTGTCCACCTGAAGGCAAAGCATTTTAACAATGCCAGTCCTTGATCAGAAAGAACTCAATTGAGGCTGAATCTATGGGGAGACTCAAAATGGATTTAAGGCTCCCAGTGTGAACCATAGCCTTCCTAAAACCGAGTACTCAGAATTTACGCTCTAGTACAGATGAAAAAATATATATTTAAAAACAACATTAAAAAATATAACCAGTGTTTCCTTACACAGGACAGATTGTCAGGGTCAGCTAGAAGTCTGAATGAGCCATCCCAAACTGTCGTACATAATCTATTCCACCAGAAGTCCAGAAAACTCATTCTAACACATGATTCACCACCTGTAAATTACAAGACCAATCATTGCACTGGGATAAGGACCAGACAGGATGCAAGAATAAGGGCCAATGGGAAAGCAAGATATGGACTGAATCCAGCCAGTGGGGTCCCACTACCAGAACCTATAAAATCCAGTGTTGCATCTCTAGATGGGGTCTTCTTCAAATTGTGGGGCAACCTGTTTCATGATTGAAGCATACTTTGCTTAAACTTTTGTTCCTCATACTATCTTGTCTTGATGTCTTGTATATGTGGCCCTCTCTATTGTGGAGGCAAACCACTCAAGAGAAACTTGCTAGCTTTTCTCCAAAGAAGAAAAGGCTGGTAACATCAGCTTTCGGCACAAAACAAGGTCAAATGTATTATATTATAATAAAATAATATGCATTATATATTTTATAATGATTGATAAATGTATAAGATATATAAAATGTTCACTCATATATATGAAATAAGCACTAGTTATAGAGAAATCTTAGACTATTTTCATTTTCTGTTTTATTGTATCTTGAGTTAGAAATTTTACAAGCATGTATATTTTGACAGCAAAAATACATTAAAAATATTAACATTAGGCCAAATGTTTGAGGATAAAATGACTAAGAACAATAAAATATACCATGAAGTATTTGTATATATCTAAAAAACATAGTAACAGCTACATTCTATAAAAATCTCAGGTTGCGTATGAACAAGGTCATGAATATAGATACCAAAACATTCATCTATTAAGACACAGACTGTCTCTCTGGAATTCAGCATATAATCTTACTGCTATTCTATATTGTAATCCATACCTGAAATCTCACTAATTTCTCTAGTCATGATTTTCATAAATTTGCTATATTTGGTAAAATAGAAGCTTTAAAGTCATGATATTTAAAAGCCAGAAGTTGAACAATTTGGGTGAAGTAAGAAAAACAGTTATTTATATACTGAGAATACATTTAAAATGCTCACAAAATTCCCACATTAAGAACTTAGAGAAACATTTTATCTATTTAGTGGCTAATTTCTAATAGTGACCATTTTTTTGCTCCATTATAATTCACGAATCTTGTCACCTTCCAGAGTTCTAGAAGTCTTGGCTCAGACTGGTAGGATGCAAACAAGCTCAGGATATTAGTCTTTTTTTTTATAAATCTAACATAGCCTATTTTTTGTTTGTTGTTGCCAGGATTTTTTTCAGTGCATTTTGAGTGGTTTCACCCAGATCTCTAGCTTTTCTGTTCACAAGTGTTTCTCCTTGGTAAGGAGTTGTCATTGCCATTGCCATTGTTAGGTGCTGTCCAGTCAGTTCCAACTCTTAGCAACCCTATGTACAACAGACCAAAATATTGCCTGGTCCTGTGCCACCCTCACAATTATTTCTATACTTGAGTCCATTGTTGCAGCCACTGTGTCAATCTATCTTCTTGAGGGCTTTCCTCTTTTTCACTGCCCGATCACTTTATCAATCATGGGGTCCTTTTACAGGGACTAGTCTCTCCTGATAACATTCTGGCTGTATTTCTTCCAACGCAGACTTGTTTGCTCTTTTGGAAATCCATTTTACTTTCAATATTTTTCACCAGCACCATACTTTGAATGCATTGATTCTTCTGTCACCTTCCTTGTTTAATGTCCAATTTTCACACGCACATGAGGCCATTGAAAATACCATGGCTTGAGTCAGGTGTACCTTAATCCTCAAAGTAACATCCTTGCTTTTCAACACTTTAAAGATGTTTTGTGCAGTAGATTTGCCTTATGCAATACATTGATTGATATCTTGACTACTGCTTCTATGAGCATTAATTGTAGAGCCACCACTTGTCTGTCAATATGTTGCACTACGGTGTTGCTGTTATGCTAGAAGCTATGTAACTGGTGTTTCAAATACCAGCAGAGTCACCTCAAGTGAACAGATTACAGCAAAACTCCCATGCCGAAAGCAGACTACAATGAAGGTATAGGCTGTCCATTTTGAAGGAATTAGCCACTGTATACCCTAGGGATAGCATTGTCAGTTACTAAAAACCTCATGAATAAGCAGAACTTTTGCATGGATCAAGTGGCAGTTGTGTGAACTCATGCAGTAGAAACTGGTATCTCATTACTAATGAAATCAATGGCCATCTTTAAAGAATATTTTTTAGAATAGCAGTGGTCACCTTTAAAGAACGTTTTCCAGTAATTTTTAAATGAATTAACCCAACTGATATAGTTTTAACTTCTATAGCTACTTTCGAATATTTGAGCTGTTTTGAGAATTTTGTGCAGTTGTTAATGTGAAGGGAAAACATATGTGGTGAGTGACCTTATAGCCTGGTAGAGTGGGCACTTGACCTTCACTCAAAATGACCCCCACATTGGATGAAAGCTTTGCCTTGTGGTTAGGCTAGAAATGATAAGTGGGAGTCCACCATGGACTTTTCTCTCAATCTTAAGAACAATCCATTTTGAGTTTCATATTTCATTAACAAATTATTAACAAATTATCTTTGTGATTTTTGATTAAACAGCCCTTTTAAAGAGTGCATTATTGAAAACCTGTTTATATTTCACTTGCTATAATGAGGCCTTTCTAAATCAAAACATTATAAATATTTATATATATAATTTTACCTCCAAATGGTATTACAAATTAGAAAAATATATGTATGTTTTACTTTTTCAGAGATCACTTTTGATTTTTTTACATGTGTGGTTGTGAATTGAATTTTTTAATATTGTGAAGAATTAATGAAATGGTTTATTTTGACATTTTTTATGTGCACATCAAACTTAGAATCTAGATCTTTACAAGTGAATTGAATTATACATTACAGAATGTATTTTAACAACAGCAACAACAAAAGAGAGATTCTAGAGGGGAAAAACACAGTATTTCCATTTTGCTCAGCCTGAGCTAACTCAGAAAAACAAATGATTAGGGTTAATATTAGTTAATTCTTAGTAGAAATAGCCAGGTGTCACAGTGAAGCAAGCAGTGTGCTGCTAATCAAATTGTGGCCATTTGAAATGGCCGCTCTTAAAAACATCAATCAGTCAGCTTCTGAGTTTTTTAATCTCAGAAACTCTGGGAAGCTGTCTCTATTCTATCTTACTAGGTTACTATGAGTCAGAATTCACTCAAGGACCAAGTATTTTTTTGTTTGTTTTGTTTTTAAGTCAAAATGTACACATTTAAAGACTTGAAGAAAGCTAAATCTAGATAAAATAACTAAGGAAAACTTTAAAATAGTTCAAT